ACTTGTCGAGGTTAGCTTCAATTCCTCGCTCGTACCCCGAACATGCATTTCTCCGGATTAAAGCACATCTTATACCTCCTGGCCTGCTCGAATACTTTCCTCAAGTGGGTCGTGTGACCAGATTCCTCGTTGGACTTCACGATCATGTCGTCCATATAGACTTCGAGCATGTCCCTGATTTCTTCTCGGAAAACTTTGTTCATCATCCTTTGGTAGGTAGCCCCAACATTCTTCAGGCCGAAGGGCATTACGTTATAGTAATAGTTGTTTGATTTGTTCATGAAGGCCATGTACTTCTTGTCGCTTTTTTCCATGGGTATTTGGTTGTAGCCCGACTAGGCGTCCATGAAAGATAACAATTTAAAATCGCCAGAATTATCAACTAGTTTATCTATGTTGGGGAGGGGATATGCGTCTTTAGGACATGCCCTATTAAGATCGGTATAGTAAATACACATTCACCATTTTCCATTATTCTTTCTAACGAGTACAACATTGGACAGTACTTGGCTACCGAGATAAAGTTTGCCTCTATGATGTCTTTTATAGTCTGTTAGACAACCTCTGTCTTCTTTGGAGACTGTCGTCTACGTTGAGCCACCGTGTTAATGGCGGGGTCGATAGTTAGGCGGTGACAGGCCGCGTCAAGGTCTAGCTCGGGCATCTCCGCGACACTCCACGCGAAAAGGTCTGCATTCTCCCAGAGCCATGCTCTTAGTTGTTTCCTCGCTAACTCGGGAAGACCGGTCCCAATCTTCACTCCCCGCTTGGAATCTTCGTTGAGTAAGACAAGCTCAAATTCTCCATTCGAAATTAGGCGCATCAGATGGACAACTTTGTTGCTACTGAAGGGGATGCTCGAGGATGAATGAATCTCTTTTCCCTTTTCCTTCTAAGTCTTCTGGTCATCTTCGGAGAAGCGGCTGTCAAGGTCTATGGAATTGATGTAGAGCACCAACTTTGTCTCTTCGGCGCTGCTATGTAGAGAAGTCTGGCTAGGAGTCTTCGGCCTGGCGACGATGGTATTCAGTCCCTTGGATGCTGCTTCAAAGCATCTCCTTGCAGCTTCGATATCCCCGTGTAGAGTCGCAACGAGGCCTTTAGAGGTGTAGTATTTCATCTTCAAGTGTACTGTTGAAGACACGACCACCAACTCGGCCAGAGTCGGTCGCCCAAAGATGCACTGGTATAACGATGGGCAATCTATGACCAGGAATTGGACCTTGATTGACCTATCCGTTTCAACGTACCCGGAGGTTACGATCAGCTCAACATAACCTCAGGGCTTTGTCATCGACCCATTGAAACCTTACAGGTTAGAACCCACGTAATGAGTCAAATGCAATTCGTCTAGTTGGAGCGTGGAAAATAATTGGGAGTACATAATATCAACTGAGCTGCCTTGGTCAACGAGGATTCGCCGGATGTTAAAACTTGTCATCCGAGCTCTTACGAGCAAAGGGATGCTGGCGTTGGGGGCTCTACCGAGGAGCTCATTGCGGTAGAAGCATATGGGAACAAACTTTCCCTGGGCCCTATCGAGGGTGGAATTCCGATTTGAGCTGTTGCTGATAAGGTGCTCGAATTTTCTTTTGATGGACCCTACTGTCACTTTGTTGAAGCCTCATTCGAAGATGACCATGACGGAGGGAAATGTCTCCCACTGGCTGTGCATGGCGAAATATGGAGGGGCATTGAGCCCCTCGGGGATGTAAAAATCTTCAGGCCGCGATATGCTTATAGCGACCTTAAGGCTATCTTCTTCGAAGGAAGGTACTTCTTCCTCGACCTTTTGGGATTCTTGGGTGTCTGGTCGAGGAACGTCTTTTCGTTTGGCGAACTGTTTCATATGTCCGTCTCTGATGAGTATCTCTATGACATCCTTCAGGTGGATTCAGTCTTCATTCATATGGTCGTGGCTTTTGTGAAACTGACAATATTTAGACTTATCAGTGTTGGGTTTGGACAGTATCTGCTTTGGGAACCGGACTCCCGCCTGCCGGAATTCTGAGTTGGCGCACTCGGTGAGGATCTTTTCCCTTGAAATTGTCAAGGAAGTGTACTCGTGGAACCGGCCAGAGGGTCCTTTGTTGTCCCGGGGTTCACGAGGACTCTTCTCTTCTTTTATCTTCCCGACGGGATGTCAAGGGCTCGTCGGACCTTGAGGGTCGGACATTCTCCCTATGCTTGGAATCACGGGCAGAGTTGACAACCTCCTCCTCTTCGTACTGAATGTACGCTTGTGCTTTGAGGAGGAATACGTCTAGCATTGTTGGGGGCTGGATGACCACGACTTTAGAAAATTCAGTGTGGGGACGGATCCCGCGTTCGAGCAGAAACTTTTTCATGCCATCGATTGTAGAAACCGTGACGACCTCCTTATTGAACCTTTCGATATAGGCTCGCAGGGGTTCATCTCTCCCTTAAATGATGGCTTCAAGGGAGACTTCGGTCTTCAGATGGCGGCAATAGGCCGTGAAGTATCTGGAGAACAGTGTCCCCAGTTGTCTCCATGAGGTGATGGAATCATTAGGAAGTCCTTTGTATCAGGTCATCACCCATTTCCTAAGTATGGTCGGGAATAACCTGCATTTGAAAGCACCCTAGGCGTCGCAGTAATCGAGCAACACATCGATATTTTTGATGTGCTCGTCGGGGTCTGTTGTTCAATCGTATGTGCCCAGAGAGGTGAGTTTCTCTAGTCCCTTTGACAGGCGCACGACCATAATCTTCTGGGACAATGGGCCGCGAGGCTCGTCGTCACTGCTGTTGCTAGTCCACGACGGGGAGCGGGAGTCCCGCCTGTATGTAGGATGGCGGTCTCGTCGGAGAGACGGGGTTCGTGCTCGGTCCTTGGATATGGGCGGAGGCGAACGTTGGGATTTTTCTTGGTGGCTTATTCTGGTCCTCTTAGGTTGTGGGGAATGCTAGTTCCGAGGAGAGATGTGGTCGCGCTTGCAGATGGTCAAGGTCTTTGGCTCCGAAGGTGTCTGACGGTTCCTCTCGCGTTGGGGAGGGGGACTCCGTGGTCGCTAACGCTCCTTCCTCGACGGAGGGGATCTTGGTTGACTGGGCTCTTTTAATGCTCTAATCCTCGCGTTCTGGTTGAGGATTAGGAGGTTGGTCTTGTTAAGGACCTCAAGGAGGGCCACCATGGCCGGGTCGGCGCTAGGCGAAACTGGGATTGACAGGTGTTGCGGGACGAGCGAGACTTCGCTGTGATCTACACGAATAGGGGACGGTGAAGTTGTGGCTTTGTCCCTATGTCAGAGAACTTCGCCACCGCGAGAGGTGGTGGCTCCGTCACCGTGAGTCTTGCTGACGGGGAGGAAAGCAGAGTTGCGAGCATCAAGAATTTTGTCACAGCTCGCCATGATCGGAATTTTGAAGAATTGTTTTGGTCTCGTGTATATGAAAAGAGGAAAGACGAGGATAACAAGTTTCCCACCGACAACGTCATTGATCTTACCTGTTGATCAGAACCTGAGGTGGGTCAAAGACAATCGTCTGTGATACTGGGTATGAAAGAGGAGGAGGGGATGTACTTGCAAGGCACTCCGATGCTAAAGTAAGAAAACGAGTAAGAGAGAGAGAGAGAGAGAGAGAGAGAGAGAGAGAGAGAATAAGTATTGAATATGAGTATATCAGGGTGAATATTGGATACCTGATCCTCTCAAGTGAGAGGGTTTTTATAGTGCCTCCAGCGCTTGGCCATTGGTCCCTATTTTCGGGGCGAGATAATCGTTTCTCGAAGAATAGGTAACTGTCAGAACTAGCCGTTGAAATGGGTAAAAGTGCCAATAACTAGCCGTTGCTACAGGCAGAGAGGTAGTTACGGGCACATGCGTCTTGACTGTTTCTGCATGGTGGAACTGTGCCTGACAGACAAAGATTGACGAAGAGAAGTGCTGTGACCAGGGATAAACTGGTCAGCCTCCCCTATTAGAGGGGTAGAAAGATAAATTTTCTCCTAAATTGATTGAACTTAGATCGTTCTAGGAGTAAAAGCGGATTGAGTCACGCCTAACCATTGGGACAGTCCGAAATTATATATATATATATATATATATATATATATATATATATATATATATATATATATATATATATATATATATATATATATATATATATATATATATATATATATATATATATATATATATATATATATATATATATATATATATATATATATATATATATATATATATATATATATATATATATATATATATATATATATATATATATATATACTACTTTAATATAAAAATTGTAGAAATAATTATTAGTTCTTAGATTTAAAGATAAATAATTGAAATTAAAATATTTATTTAATAACTTACTTATTATTTTCTTAACTTTTTTTAATAAAAGAAAGTGTATTTATTTCTCTAATTATTCATGATACTACTCTACTATGAGAACTATTTATTAGAAACAATAAAGTAGTTTGCTAGTATCTAGTAACGTTAGAATTTCAAACTGATAAAAGATAAATTCGATAAACAATAATATTCCAAAGACACATATGTATCTAACTGAACACAAATTTTGTCGGGTATAGTTAAGGATTCCGAAAATATTGTTATGTGTGACGGTCCCATCCCGTTGCAGCACAAGAATAAATAATTAGCATATGCGAGAAAGATAAAATAATATGCGAAAATAAACACCGTTACGAGAATGTGCCGCGTGTCACTCTTCTTCGTATTTTGAAACCATTCATCCTTCTCCACAATAACACACTCTCTCTCATCACCATCATCATCATCTTCTTCTTCCGATTCAATTCAATCATTTTCATCAGAAATCAGAAACCCTAGTTCTTCCCTCTAAATTTGGATCTGTATTTTTTATTAGTTTATGGTTAATTTCCATAACGTGATTGTTTCTTTATTATTTTTTGTCATGTTAACGTGATTGATTCAATCACTGTGTTTGTTTGTTTGATTGTTCCTGATTTGTGTGAAACTTTGGGAGTTTTATATGATGTGATGTGTAATAAAGGGTTTCAATGCTTGAGCGAGTCTGAGACTGTAATTGATTATCGACAAAACTTTATTATCATGGATAGTCCCACAGCCGTTCGATCTCCGGCCACCACGGCTGGTTCGGGTTCCGGTTCGAACGAGGACGGTCGGCGTGTTAAATTTCTATGTAGTTTTCTAGGTAGTATAATGCCTCGTCCGCAAGACGGGAAGTTGCGGTATGTTGGTGGTGAGACAAGGATTGTGAGTGTTTCGAGAGAGGTTAGCTTTGAGGAGTTGATGGGGAAGATGAGGGAGTTATATGAAGGTGTTGCTGTGTTGAAGTATCAACAGCCTGATGAGGATCTTGACGCACTTGTGTCTGTTGTTAATGATGATGATGTGGTTAATATGATGGAGGAGTATGATAAGTTGGGTTCTGGAGATGGGTTTACTAGGCTTAGGATTTTCTTGTTTTCGCAATCGGAGCAAGATGGTTCGCATTTTATTGATGGGGATGATTCGGAGAGGAGGTATGTGGATGCGTTGAATAGTTTGAATGATGCTTCTGAGCTTAGGAGGCTGCAACAAATGGAGTTTCCGATGATTGGTACGGTTGAGGATATCCTTGTGGGTGATCAGTTTGGGAATCCGATGGGTTTGGAAAATGGGATTCATAGACAGAGAAGTGGGGAAATGGCCATGTCACAGTATAATTTGCATCATATAGGTATTCAGCTTCAGCAACCTATGGGACAGAGGTATAATGAAATTGATGCTCAGTGGAATCCTGGTTATTACTCTCCCAGGCATCATGGTCTTAGTCATCATGACTCTAGATCGTCATTGGTTGATTATCCATCTTCTCCATCTGCAACGAGATACCGTATGCCGTTTCCTGATATACCAGATAAGGGAATTGATAGAGTGCCGGAAGACTATGCTCGGCATCACGGAAATCACCACCATCCTTTGTATGACAATCAGCCGCAGTATCCTGAGAATGTTATGTGGCTGCAAACTGGGGCAGCTCTTGGTGATAAGTCTGGTTTTCAAGGCAACGTTTTTCATAGTTCCCATGGCCATGATGGTAATAATATATGTGAGCACTGTCGAATGAATTTTCCGAGAGCTCAACCACATTTGGAGCATCCTAATATGCCTCCACCTGTTTCCGTTCCATGTCCAGAATGCCACTCAAGCAGGGAAGCTCTCACTGTGAATGTTGATGCCAAGTTACAACCTTCTATGTATCCCAATGATGCTCAGAATCATGAGAGGGCTTGTGGTCTGCAGCATCAGAGTTCTGGAAGAGTGTCTGATCATTATGTTGGTGATGTTCCGATCCTTAATTTCCCTCCTGGACATGGTAGTTTGATTGACGGGCATGCTCTTCCTTCCAGTCATGTTCACCAACAGGTTGGACCTGAATTGGGGGTTGAACTGTTCCCTGACCAAACCATGTCTGCTATGCCACGTCTAAAAATTCCTCCATTGGAAGAATCCAGTGCGCAGTATGGAAATGCACCGTCTACTTATGGAGTAGATAATAATTATGCCATGCCTCGTGGACCTGCACCTGGTTATACTCTTTGGACAAATGGTCCAACTCCAGTTCATATTGGACCACCATACGAGGCAACGACTCTACATCAGCCGGTTGATGGTGTGACAAATGCCGGACTGTTCAGAGGAGAGGGAAGACCAGGTTTTTTCATTGGAACAGATAGTCAAAGTCCTAGGGTTGATTCGTCACAGAAATTTTCTGGTCATGATGGGTCAGCCATCCCAGAATATCCTTATGCAAATGCTCCGAAGTTAAATCCAATTCCCACTGGTCAGGAAATTCAACACCCAATAATTGATGATGCCACCATTCATCCCCCGCACGACAGAAATGCTGGTACATGCTTGGAACACGTGCAGCTGCAAAAATCTTCGCTTAATATCATTCACAATAACGAGGTTTTAAAAAATGGTGCTCATTTGACTGAAGTGGTGATGGGTTTGCAATCTATAAATTTGCTTGGAGAAGGAAAAGAGGCCAAAAGTGAAGACAAGGTTGAAAACTTTAATATGCAAAGGGTATCTTCTCGAGATCAAAATCAAGTTGTTGAAGATGTATCCATCACTGCTGCTGTTATTGTTGAGTGTAATAATTCATCCTCGAAACCTTCATCAGAGTTTGGACTTGTTGAGAAACTGGTTGATAAGGACTGTTCTGCTCCCGGAGATTCTCAGCATTTAGTTGATCAATTCAATATCTTGCCTGAGTTAATTGCTTCTGTTAAAAAGGCTGCATTGGAATGTCATGATGAGGTGAAACCTACAGGTGAAGAGCATGCCAATTGTCAGATGAACAATTCGAATACCAAAGAAGAAACAGAAAAAGAAGTTGAGCCAGTGGTAAGAAATTGAAATGATTTTGTTTTCTTATTTCAAAAGTAAAATGTGATTTTTTTTTCCTTTTGGAGAACAGTGTTGTCTCAGATTGACTTATATTATATGTTATTTGTGTTTATTCGTCATGTAGAATGCTCTCGGTGATTTAGAATTAGACACTGAAAATGACCATGTAGATACTTCTAAAATCGAGCCTACAAAAGCTGAGGCAGAAGCCGTTGCTAGGGGATTGCAGGTTTTCATCCCATCTTACTCAAAACTATTATGTTCATATCACTTTTTGTTTGAGGTCTTTATTTTCCCACATGACTTTGGTTTGATGGTTGGCTGATAATTTCTTTCAGACTATTAGAAATGATGATTTGGAGGAGATCCGCGAGCTAGGTTCTGGAACTTATGGGGCTGTTTATCATGGGAAATGGAAAGGTTCTGATGTTGCCATTAAGAGAATAAAAGCCAGTTGTTTTGCTGGAAGACCATCTGAAAGAGCAAGATTGGTAATATTTGTATCTGATAGTTTTTCCTATTGTTTTAGTAATTGTTATTTAAACTCTGTAGTGATTTCATTTTGGTTGCTGTCCCAGATTGCAGATTTCTGGAAGGAGGCATTGATGCTTAGTTCATTGCATCATCCTAATGTTGTCTCCTTTTATGGTATTGTTCGTGATGGCCCTGACGGGTCTTTAGCAACAGTAACAGAGTTCATGGTTAATGGATCTCTGAAACAGTTCTTGCATAAGAAGGACAGGTAATGCAACACATGCGTGAGTTTACATTTTCTCAATATTTGCAAATATATTTCAAGCTCTGGAGTATGTATCTGAGAATTTTGTGGACTGCTGATTTATGATTTATGTTGTTTTTTTTGTTGTTGAGGAATTTAACAGAACGATAGATCGTCGGAAGAGGCTCATTATAGCCATGGATGCTGCATTTGGCATGGAGTATTTGCATGGAAAGAACATTGTGCATTTTGATTTGAAATGTGAGAATCTATTAGTCAATATGAGAGATCCACAAAGGCCTGTCTGCAAGGTACTCTTACAATAAAATAATTCATATAATTAGATAGTCCTTGAATTCGTATCAATAACACAATGCGTGCTTACATTTATTTATTTATGTTTAACTTAATATTATATATAATATTTTTTATTAAATATACACACACATTTGTACAAATACACACATGCTAACGGAGTTTAAGACAATGTCTATGTGTTTATTCAGATTGGTGATTTGGGTCTATCAAAGGTTAAACAACACACACTAGTGTCTGGAGGGGTACGAGGAACTTTGCCATGGATGGCACCCGAGCTTCTTAGTGGGAAAAGCAATATGGTGTCAGAGAAGGTATTCTTGGCATAGCTGTTTGAATTTGCGTCACTAATATCCATTTCATCTTTTCAGATGATCACCTCACATCTGTTACCTGCTTGTGCTGTAGATTGATGTTTACTCGTTCGGGATAGTCATGTGGGAGTTACTCACCGGCGATGAACCTTATGCTGATATGCATTGTGCTTCAATAATAGGTGAGAACCAAGTAACAAACTAAATACGCAGCAGTTTGTTTTGTTGCGTGTTTTGAGTTATCTTCCTTTTTAAACCACAATGTGATTTTATCGTATATTCTTATTAAAGATGTGTGTGTAAGAGGATTGGCATTATTCTCTTGTAGTTCAAGAGTTATGAAACATTGACACGAACACGATACTAACATGTCGTGTCACTGATAATAAGTAAAGAAAGTGGAATATTTGAATGTAATCAAACCGCATGTATCGGACACCAGACACGGGCTACAAAGATCAGAAGAACATGATACATATCAATGTTTGCTATTGTCTTTGTTTTGTAGGAGGAATTGTGAACAATTCTTTACGTCCTCAAATCCCGACATGGTGCGATCCTGAGTGGAAGTCTCTAATGGAAAGCTCCTGGGCTTCTGATCCTGTAGAAAGACCATCATTTTCAGAAATTTCCAAGAAGCTGAGGACTATGGCTGCTTCAGTGAATGTGAAATAGTTAATTAATCTTGAAACACTCAAACGCCCTTCTTACATTATACGTAGCATAGAATTGGTAATCGAAGGGAAATAAGGCGAAAGCGGGGTTCTTCCCGTTCAAGGCGCCAACAAGCTTAGCTTTTAAAGGAGCATTCAACAACCTTATGCAAGCTTGTATTGTAATATCATATCCTTCCTTGGTTTAGCCTAAACAGTCTTTTATATTCTTGCCTTTGATGGTATTTACCTTAGCACAGTTTAATGCACTATAGCATGGATTTTCTCCGGAAGCGGCATGGTGGGAATATCAGTCTGTCACACTGTGAGTGATTTCATTTATATGTTGTTTCAAATTACAGTTTCTTTTAGTGATGAAAGGTAAATTCTGATTGTCCTATGCCGTTATGCGTGCGTGCAGTTTTACACGTGATAATCAACTGAGGAGGAACCATGCTATCCGGAGGGATGTATATAGTTAACCAACATGTCTCATGTGCTTCATATGGAGAGGATAATGATGAATTATGTTTTCCATTTGCAGATGGAACACATTCATTTTGACATCAGTATTTTATTGAATTGCTTCAATATATTTATATGATATATATTTTCAATCATATGAATCTGCATACTCAATGATGTGTTCTGTCTCTTGAAGCTGTATAAAATAAATGTTTTATTTTTTTAAATATAAAGACTTGAGTATGCTACTACTTAATTTGAGGTTTTTCTCTCTAAATCTAAAGGTTCTTAGCTGTTTTCTGTTTAATAGAGAAAGAAAATAACGCAAACGTGTGCTAATTTGTAGCTTGTGTACATGCTTTGAAAGTCTTGTTTATTGGATCATTGGATATCCCTTGAGAAGTTTGTAGGATCAATTAATCTATGTTTGGGTGGGTGCTTTTGATTAATGTGATTTTAGTAACAATTAAGCTTTTTTCCTAATGATTATGATTATTATATGATGTATTATTGAGTTTCCTTACGAGTGTCTTTCTTTTTGTCTAATTCTTTTTCTTCATAAAGACCTTTTGTCTAAACAAAATAAGATAATTATATCATATTCTGTCTCAGTTAAATATTTACTAACACGACAAAATATAATAATTTAATTCAATTGTTACTATAACATCTCACTCTAAGTTAGATAATATCTTGAACTTGTGTTTGACTAGAAATTAAATATAAAAATAATTTTATTCTAATGATAGTTATTAGAATAAAATTATCTTGCTATCGATAATAATTCGCGATCTTCATTTCTACAACACCATTTACTTGGATATGACGAAGACTTGTTTGAGCGATTGTCATTAGCTAAGAATAATTGAACAACTCCCAATTTTATTCTGCAACAATCTTTACTTAGTTTTACCAAAGTCTTTTACCAAAGTCTTCAATAGAGTATAGAGAAAATCTCTCTCTTATTGGATAACACACGACCAGTATTCATGGCCAAGAAACGATTCTCAAATCCCATGTATTAATCTCCAGATCACAACAGATGGTAGTATAATACTTTCAAACTTGAGATAACATCTCTTGAGCTCTCACGCCCTGCAGCATTAAACACTTAATGCGTATAAATATATCTATAATATCTCAAAACCTTTCTCCCCTTTGACACATATTAAAAAGAGAAGAAAAAATATACAAGCATATAACCACGATAATCTAAAGCCTAAATATAATGTTATACAATAGCGAACTAATCAAGTACCAGAAAATTACATATAAGCAAGATAGCAACGGATACAATTCTAGAAAATTTTAAAGATAATAAATAGAATTTAAGATATCAAATAACATATAAAAATCCTAAAAGAAAGGCAAAACTATGCCACAAAAATATATTATCAAAGATTTTTCATCATAAGTAATATTTAGAAACACTAAAAGATAATATTCAGCAATATATATATATATATATATATATATATATATATATATATATATATATATATATATATATATATATATATATATATATATATATATATATATATATATATATATATATATATATATATATATATATATATATATATATATATATATATATATATATATATATATATATATATATATATATATATATATATATATATATATATATATATTCTGGACTGGACCGATGTCTGGTCCATCGTCGGACAGACCCAAATCCCACCTGGTCAGAAGGCCCAATAAGACCTCATCGACCAACAGTAGAAGATCCGTCGGACACAGACCAGCAGCCGTCGGGCAGGACCTTCATAACTGTCCGACCTATTAGTAATAATTCATATTTTATTATATTACTTTCTTAAGCCCATAAGTTTGTTAGAGGGTATTTTAGTATTTATCTTATTCTAGTAACCCTAGTTTTAGCTTATAAATAGGGTGACAATCATTGTAACCAAATATCATGTTTTGTAGCCGTCATTCTCTTTAATAGAATATTTTCCTATTTCATCATTTATTCTATCTTTGCACCAACAATTGGTATCTAGAGCTCCGGTTCAGATTCATTGGAAAACACGGGAAACACGAGTGAACGTGATGTCTTGTGTGTTTGATTTTGTTTCTCAGATTCTTGTTGAATCTTGAACAAAATCTGATCAGAATTTTTTAATTCTGTGGGTTGGGAAACACTTTGTGAGAAAACTCTGAGTGTATTGTGCAAAGTAGAAGATGAACGGAAACGGCAACATGAACACCAAACTTCCAGTATTTGACGGTAAAAATTGGAATCGTTGGATGATCCAAATGCGTGTACTGTTTGGTGCTCAAGATGTTCTGGATCTTGTCACTGATGGTTATGTTCCGGTAGCAGCAGATGCGACTGATGAACAGAAAAACGCGCAGAAGGAAGTAAGGAAGAAGGATCAGAAAGCATTGTTCTTCATTCATCAATGTGTGGATGTAAACGTGTTTGAGAAGATTGCAGACTCTACAACAGCAAAGGATGCATGGGACACTCTGGTGAGATGTTATGGTGGTGACGCATCAGTGAAGAAGGTGAAGCTTCAGTCATTGAGAAAGCAATATGAGAATCTCAACATGAAGAATAATGAGAAAGTTTCTGAATACATCTCCAGAGTGATTCTGATCACTAATGAGATAAAGGCATGTGGAGAAACTCTTTCTGAAGAAACAATCATGGAGAAGGTATTGAGATCCCTTACCTCTCAATTTGATTACATTGTGGTAGCAATAGCGCATTCCAAAGATCTGAGTACCATGAGAATTGAAGAGCTGCAGAGCAGTTTAGAAGCGCAAGAGTTGCGTTTGACTGAGAGAACTTCTGAAAGGGAAGTAGAGCAGCAAGCTCTGAAAGCAACTTCTGATAGGAGGTATCAGAAGCAGTCAGAAGCCAAGAGAAGATCTGATGGTGGTCAGAAGTCAGAAACCTCAACCTCTGATAGACAAAAGAATGCTCAGAAGGGAAAAGAGAAGTATGACAAGAAGAAGATCCAATGTTACTGTTGTAAGAAGTTTGGTCACTTTGCTAGAGATTGTTGGTCAAACAAGGAGAAGAAATCAAAAGAAGCAAATATAGCCAGAAGTTCTGATGACGAATCTGTGCTATTGATGGCCTCTGAATCTGATGATCTGACAGACTGGTGGTATATGGACACTGGCTGTTCAAATCATCTTACTGGAAACAAGAAATGGCTGGTTGACTTTGAATCTGAAAAGAGAACAAAGATCAGATGTGCTGATGACAAATATCTTAATGCAGAAGGTATGGGAAATGTCAGAGTGACTCTGAACAATGGGAAAATAGCATTGATTCAGAATGTGTGGTATGTACCTGGCATCAGAAGCAATCTGATGAGTGTGAGACAATTAATTGAGAAAGGTTTCTCAGTTACCATGAAGGACAATCTTCTGAAGCTGTATGACTGTAATCAGAAGTTGATTATGGAGTCAGAACAGGGAAGGAATAGAACATTCAAGGTGAATGTCAGAACTGCAGACTCAGAGTGTCTTAGTGCAACAAGTACTGAGAAGGAGAGTGAGCTGTGACACAGAAGATTTGGTCATTTGAATTTCAGAAGCTTACAACATCTGAATTCAAAGAAATTGATACATGGAATTCCTGCAATTAAGAAGCCTGAAAAGTCATGCAAAGTTTGCATGGAAGGAAAACAACCAAGATTGCCATTTGCATCAGAAGTTGCTCCAAGAGCAAAACATGCCTTGGGAGTCTCATACCCTAAATTTGTCCTACCCTTTTGTAAATATTTTCGCACTTATCATTTCATGCCATTTAGACACGTGTCCACCCGAAATTGGGCGTTTTCCAAACTTTATCTTTTTGATCAATTAAGACGTGACACGTGGCCTAAGTTTTTGTGAATATTATTTTCATTTCAATTTTCTAACCTTTTTTCGTTTTTATATATTGCTAATAATGATGATTATTTAGTACATATATTTTATTTTGTTAATATTGCCTTTTTATTAAATATAAATTTTAGTTAGTTTTTATACATTGTTAATATTCATTTAATAGTCACTATTATTATTATCATTTTGTTTATTAATTAGTTGTGTTAATTAATATTGTAAGGTTTAATTTATATTAACAGTTTTGAGTTTTTATTATTAATTTAAAAATTAAAGGAAAACGGATGGAGAGAAAGTTGAAGTGGGATTGAAGGCCCATATTTGGAAGGAGCCCATTAGGGTTTTGGTCTGCGGTGTATTTAAGTGGAAGAAAATTTTAGAGTAGGGAGAAGGAGATTACTGTCCACTGCCTTTCCAATTCCCCTTTCAGCAGACCCTACTCTCTCCTCTCTCGAAAACGGCCGCCCCCAAATTCATTCAAAAAAGACCCTAAAAATTTTCTACTGTTCATCTTCTTTAAGCGAAAACGGCACCGCGGCTTCTTCTCCCCTTTTTCTCAAATCAAAACGGCCACCGCTGACCACACCTTCCTCATAAAATCAAAAGCGCCGCCACCCTTCTTATACCCCAAATCGAAACCCTTCAATCCATTTCCACCTTCTCCCTCACAAAAAAAACCTTAAA